GTATAAGGTTGGGTTCACGTGAGACCAGTTTGTTTATTGTGAGACATGTGAGACTACTTTTTTACACTTGAAACTTACAACAAAACGCTATGAAGGTAACCTTCACAGCTTTTTTACTGTGAAGGCTCGGTTTTTTTTACCTTCACATCGTTTCGATGTGAAGTTTCAAGTGTAAAAAAGTGGTCTCATGAGTTTCACGAAACAGACTGATCTCACGTGAACCCAACCCTATATCTATATCTATACTATATTATAAAGCATTTGACCAAAACTCTTAAAAACCATTTTTTATGCATGAAGTACTGTATATTGATGCATATTACTTAAAATTCAAGATTACAAGTAAATTATACATATGTACAACTTATTAAAGCTCCATGTTTAAATACGTGTAACTAACTGCGGATAAACATAATCAAATAAATGATAAACATCTCATTTTAAAATATAAAAAATCTAAAATATTATTAGGATAATTATCGAGTTCTAACAAAATAATTAAGTTATTATCTTTAGAAAAAATTATATTATTAAACCAAATATAAATTACTTCGTTATTGAACCTAAATTAAATTATAATAAAAAATTGAAAAATTACACAAAAAATATGAATTTTAAATAGTTAATTTGATACTAATGTCGATATATTTTTGTCAAAATTTTATGATATCTGCAAATTTATATTTTTATTCAAAAATAAAAACATCATCGTTCTTTTCAAAATCACATAAGACCATACTATAACATCGACTGAGATAAAAAATAAAATAAAACTCAATACAACTCAATCTCAATCGTTCATCTAATTTGATGAATACATGATTTCATAAAAGTTTTGTGTAACACCCGAGATTTTCTTTTTATTATTCTCTAAAACTTTGATCTGTTTTGTGCCCTTAACCTCCTTTTTACTTAAATTGAATTGTCTCCTCCTTTTATATTTATATTAAATATGATTTTATAAGTGTGCCTTGCAACCTCTTCTAGTCTATAGGTGGTCATGATGACTTTAGGGGGAAGGGGGGGGGGGGTTACCTGCTGGCGTCCTGAGTTGTACTACCCACCTTCCTCTTAGCCAATTTTACCTTTTCTCCTTGTGGGTTCTCCTTTTCCCTTGAAGTCCTTACCCCCTATTTGGATTTCCTTGGGAGGATAAGTTTTGAAGGAGAGAAGATGATGTTAATGGTGGAGCTTAGTAATCGGACGTGAGGTTGAGAAAAAGAAATTAAGCTACCTGTGGAATCCCCTACAACCTGCTGTCTCCACTCCTCTTCAGACGGTACCGCAGATCAACCCAGCCGTGGCTGCTGTGCCTGCTGCGTGAAGGAGAGTCCAAGCCACGGGAAAGCACGTTGTTGTGCCTGCTGCGTGAAGGAGAAGCCAGGCCACGGGACAGCAGCTGTTGTTCCTGCTGCACCTGCTGTGTGAAGGAAGAACCGAGCCGCGGGACAGCATGCTGCTATGCCTGCTGTGTGAAGGGAGAACCGAGCCGCAAGACAGCACACAGCCGTGACTGCTGTGCGAAAGAAGGGTTGTAGCTGCTGTGCGAGGAGGAAGCCGAACCAGAGGGCGACACACAGCCGGGATTACTGTGCGTGAAGGACCGAATCAGAAGCCGTTAGGACCACTCTAGGCAGCAGCAAACACTGCCGTGCCGCCTTAGACAGCAGCATTTTGCTGCTGTGCCATCTCGCCTCAACTGTCAGCAAACAACGGGTACCGCTGTGCCATTTATTTTCTGTTGCTTATAGTTGACTACGCGGTAGACAGCAACTTTCGCCGTGACTTTCTCCCGTACCTTTCCGAGCAAACAGCGACAGAAGAGGCTGCTGTATTGAGCTGCTGCGTGGTCCACTTTGCGTAGTGAGTTCATCCTATCCTATTATGTATCTTACTCGTCACAACACTATAGGCTTAGGATCCGATTCTTTAATATGCTACATGATGTACTCATATGAGGTGGCTTGAGAACTTATTTAGATGTTGAGATTTAAGGATTTCCTAAGGAATTCTAATTCTAGGAGAGGGTAAATATGAAATCCAATTAGAGAGCCATAAGAACCTAAGTACACTCGAAAAGGTAATATTGGTAAATGATGATTAATTATAGTTTCTTGTATGTTAAAAACTCTAAGGTATCTTACGTTAGGAGATCCCCTTTACTCGTAAAGTATAGTCTAAATATTCGTTAAGGATGGGTGGTGGTTTATACCTCTCAWATGGCGGATTCATGTACATTCTTGGTGTTGGATTGATATTTCATGCATATGTATACYTAACCTTGGCTTCCTACTAATTGATCGAAATGTGGTAAATTTTTGTATTGAAAGTTGTTCTTTTACACTTTGTGTGAGGGATGGTGTAAGTTGGTGGTAGGCATTGTGATTATTATGTAACCTCCAAATCATCCTCTCACTACCAYTCGGAAATAGGCATTGTGATTATTATGTAATTTCCGAGATAAAGGGCGTAAGATCACGATCGACTAAATGACTGGTTTAGGTTGATGTCGATGGTTTTAAACCTATACGTGATGCTCTATAACGTTGACTTACGACTTACTTTGTGTCTGTCATAATCAACGGTAAAACGGGTCTCCCCCGTTATCAGCAAATGTTTTGGACTCCTCTTTATAATAACTCGATTTGGCTATTTTATTTAATGGCGGTAAATTTATGAAACTTTATTTAAGAATTTCCCGTTTTCCTTGCGTGATTGTTTGAACTCACTAGGCGTAAGCCTAACACTTCTTTGTTATGGTTTGAATATTCAGGTTCCTTTAGCGGTGGGGCCAAAATGGGTTGAGAGGAGCGTTGGTACGTGAAGAGGCTCTTTTGTAGTAAAGCCTGTTTACGTTTGAGCGTTACGAATGAAGATGTTGTATTTTTGGAGATTGATAGGAACACCCGTCTATAATCTAGTTGTAGAAAAACCTAGATTAGTAGGTTGTTAATTATCTTCTCGATATTTTTTGTATGTAAACGCTTTGCTATCACTTCTTGTTGGGTGTAAATTTTTATTCTAGTTTCCAAGTCTCATTTTATACCTTCGTATTTATTTTATACTTTTATGGGTGTTATAAGTTGGTATCAGAGCCTTAGTTTAAGTGAACTAGGTGAGGAACTAAGACGCCTAGACTTAAGCTGAGATTGTAAGCATTAATTCGTGAGCTATGGGTAGAGACTGTTAAGATAGGAGAGCTTTGGGGTTAGCGGATTTGTATAAATCATGAAGTTGTTGTGACGGTGTTGAGGATCCTTATGTATGACCTATTCAAAATTTCACTTAGCTAATGCTATTTTGAGTAAGTTGTTACATGAGCATGCTTAGGCTCACTGTTATTACGAAGATTATGATTGTGTCGGTACTATATATATATATATTAGTTATGTATTCATTCTTCTCTATCCTAACTCTCCATCACTCTCTTGTACTAGCAGACGTCATGGTGAATACTCGGAATAGACGAGATACCTCGCCAGAAGGTCAAGCGGTGA